TGTTAAACAGAACGCGTGACAGTATTTTGTACGCCGAATTCAGAAGAGTTATTCCTCGATAATTGGCGCACTCGAGTCTGTTCCCCCTTTGTTGAATAATGGGCAAATGAGGCCATCCAACCAGCTAGCAGGCAGTTCTTCGTCCTCCCATATCTTCGTTAGAATACGGTGGATTGCTTGATGCAGCTGCTCACTTCCGTGTTTGAAAAGTTCGGCCGGGAGCTCGTCCTTCCCAGCAGCCTTATTGTTTTTCAGCTCACGTATTGCCTTTTTAACCTCGTCTAGCGTTGGAGGCTCCACAGCTTGATCGTCGTCTGCGATGTTTACTCTGTTCCTCGATACTCCCTCACTCTCTCCATTCAACAATGTCTCAAAATGTTCTTTCCACCTGGCAGCCACCATTGTTTTATCTGTCAGCAAATTCCCCTCAAGGTCATTGCACATGGCGGGAGATGGCGCTGTTTTACTCCGCACACCATTGACAGTCGCGTAGAACCTTCGCATATCGTTCTGTTCCATACTTTCTTGCGCCTCAGCAATCACGCGTTCTTCGTATTGCCTTTTCTTTCTGCGGTGGGTTCGTTTCTCAGCTGCCCTTGCTACCTTGTACCGCTCTCTGTTCAGCCGGGTACCAGACACTAACATCCGGCTTCTGGCAACGTTCTTCTCATCCGTCAACCTCTGGCACTCCTCATCAAACCAGCCATTACGTGGTCGTCTTTGAGCTGTACCTATCACTTCTTGTGCTGTTGTGTTCACCGCTCCGTGGATTGTGTTCCACAGATTATTGAGGTCCTCGTTCACGTTGATTTCGCTAATCCACTCATCAAGCTTCTGGCGGTACTCTGCAGCAACACCTTCTACTGACAAGCGATGGATATTGAAACGCATCGATCTCCGGTTCGTTGAATTCGTAACGGTCGATAGACGCGTCCGAATTTTGCAGACAACAAGATAATGATCTGAGTCAATGTTAGGCCCCCTAAAAGACCTTACATCAATGACATCTGAGAAGTGCCGGCCATCCACCAAAATGTGATCGATCTGGGTGCAAGTTTCGCCATTTGGGTGTCTCCAGGTGTGCTTTCGGATATTCTTGCGTGCAAAGTAGGTGCTACTGATGGCCATACCTCTAGCAGCGGCGAAGTTTATCAGTTTCAGGCCGTTATCATTGGTTACTGTATGTAGGCTCTCTGTACCAATGATTGGACGAAAGAAATATTCCCTCCCGACCTGCGCATTTGCATCTCCGATTACAATCTTCACGTCGTGTTTTGGGCACTCATCATAAGTTTTATCGAGACTGTCATAAAACGCGTCCTTCACGTCATCGGATTTATCGTTGGTTGGCGCATAGATGTTGATCAGGCTGTAGTTGAAGAATTTGCCCCGAATCCTTAATACATAGATGCGGTCGCTTACCGGTCTCCACCGCATAACACGCTTCATCTGCTTCCCGATCACTATGAACCCTACTCCATGTTCTGCCCTATCGCCACCGCTGTGATAGATATGATACTTGAAGGAAGTGTTGGCGATGGGATCCACCGCCCGGAATTCACGTTCTCCGGATCTAGGCCACCGTACTTCCTGAATAGCAGCTACGCTCACATTCACTTTTTGCAGTTCACGAGCCAAAAGGCCCGCTCGTCCAGGTTCATTTAAGGTTCTGACATTCCAAGTACCGAGTTTCCATTCATTGTCCTTATTTCGTTGCCGGGTCGGTTGCCGAAAATTCCGTTCGTTGTTTTCTCTTTCTTCGTTTTTCTGAGTAATGTTGGGGGTTTCAGTATGCTACCTTACCGGGGTCGCGATACCTACATCATGTTGGTGGGGCTGCCACCTTAGGTGTAGCTGACGTGATACAGCATTTCTTATTCAGCCGCTCGCTCCGAGACAGACGCTGTTTGAGCCGCACCTCCATGGTGAACAGACGCTCGAGTGTATTGCTTACACTATTTTTTATCACTGTCAGTTTTTCGAAAGTTGGAAAAAATGGCGTCACCCGAAAAGCAACGTCGCGCATTGATTTTGCGTAAGCACCTGGAAAATCCTCAACTCTCTCATCGGGACATCGCGGAATCCCAATGCTTCGGTCAGGGATGTGGTAAAAAAGTTGAAACTGTCTTTCGTTCAGAGAGCCAAGGATCGGGTGGGACTGCAAACGTACAAAGTGCAGAAGGCTCCAAATCGTGACGAACAGCAAAATACGGTGGGAAAGTCACGGGCCCGGAAACTGTACACCCAAATGCTGACGAAGCCTCATTGTCTCATCATGGATGATGAGACTTACGTCAAGGCGGACTTCCGGCAGCTTCACCGCCCAGCACAAGTTTGACGTTCCGGAGGAAGTAAGGAAGCAGAAATTTTCAAAGTTTGCCAAGAAATACATGATTTGGCAAGCGATCTGCTCATGTGGCAAACGGAGTGCGCCGTTCGGTATTACCGGGACTGTAAACGGGGAGACCTACCTCAAGGAGTGCCTACAGAAGCGTCTACTTCCTCTGTTGAAGCAACACGAGGGCCCTAAGATCTTCTGGCCGGATCTACCTTCGTGCCAGTATTCAAATGTTGTCCTGGAGAGGTACGAAGCCAATGGGGTCACATTCGTACCCAAGTACACAAGTATTATGAAGCAGGCACTACGGAAGCATCCCAAGGAGGTTAAATCTGAGGAAGACATGAAGAAAAAGTGGGTTTCCGTACAGAAGAAGCTGCAGCCAGATGTTGTACAGAACCTAATGAGTGGAGTTAAGCGTAAGGTGTGAGCGTACGGTTATGGTATTGAAGTTGAATGAAATAAATATGCCAAAAGCTTGCTAATGGGTTATATTTTATTGTCTGAAAGTTTGAAAAGGATCGGTCAACTAGGTTATTATCTACCGCGTTTTTTTCCATGATGCAATTTGATGTGGGACACCCTTTATCGCATATCGGGTGTTACTTCTTGTTTGGATTTGGCTATTTATCTGACTGCATCTGAAACATTTCTGGATTTTGTACTATCGCTCGATGAGCTCAATATTGCCTAAATATTTGATCATGGTAGACAGACTTGATCCTCAAAAAAAACTTCGTCAATCTCATTCATTTTTTCGTCAATGACAAAGATTCACCTGGTAACACAAACTATAATTTCATGCATTCTGTGTCAAATTATTGTTATCCAAGCATTTCAAGACGTAGGTGCTTGTTTACTTTAACAGCTCCATGTAATTGTTTTGCTCAAGTCATTTTATTTCGTTACAAATTTAGTCAATGTAAAAATCTACACATGTTCATCACTGACAGCATTGTCACTGAGAATAGACACGGTTTGCCTCAACGGTGACTGTTAGCTCAAATGAGTGACCAAAGCAGAATTGTGAATATCATCGTGTATTGTCGAGATTTTGCAGCACTGCCTAGGGGCGTGACACCATGGCTGAATATCAGGTTGGTTCAAATTATCGCTTTTGCTCCACCAAGCTCAATCGATTTTAAATTAGGTCCTGATCATTATCTCAAAATTTGAGCATATTTGGATACTTAACTGGCCCTTTGAAATCGATATAGGAATTACTATGGGAAAAATGAACTTTTGAACTCATCATCCTAGCCATTCGTCAATATGATGCATGGGTATGCTTGCTTTCGTATCATGTTTGAAATTTATTCAGCTACAACTTTGCCAAAACCCTCTTTTTCTTTAGACTACAAGGTAGTTCATTATTAGTTGATTTCGAAGCCGATAACTTTATGACATGAATGATTAACTGCCTTCTGGGCAGCACTGCATGTTGCATTAATTACATAGTAGCCTTAATATTTTACCCTATACAGATTTTCACATCCGATTGTATTGATGCAATATGTGAGAACGTTTTAGTAAACATCAGAGAAAAATACATAACAAATAACTGTCAAACTCAATTTGACAGATCTAATACATACATTTTTAGGTTAGTCAGCGTAAAATAATAAACATCTTTACACGACGGTGCACTCGCTAGTGTGCGTGCATTAAACGTCACTAATCTCTATTCTTAGATCCAAGTACACCAATAAGCAGCGCCGATGGTGTCGCGATAAGCGTGATTAATTCTCACCCCAGCAGGCCTGGGTTCAATCCCAGTCGGCGCCGCCGGGATGTTCTGAGGCATAACATCTCTGATCACGCTTTCCTTCGGAAGGGAAGTAGAGCCGTTGCAACGCGTTGGTCCCCGGTTCATGAGTTGATGGGTCGATAGGTAGGGTCCAGGTGTGGGAGCTGCCTTCCTGGCGTCGGTAGCATTGGTGCTCAGCACGGAAAACAAGATCGACGGAACACTAATCAAGGAAAACAAAAGTACACCAATATAGCCTGCTGAGCAGTTGATGGAGCATGCCAGAAGAAGGCTATATTCGTACTCAATTGATAACTAATTATCCTGATGTTAAATTAAAATGTGGTTATTAGCAAAGTTGTAGCTGGGAAAATGTCGCACTAGTACAGATAGCAAACTTTTTCGTAAATCAATACGGTGAAGGACTAGAACGATGCTAACCAAAACTTCATTTCTTTTTCCTATATAAACGGGGGGCGACCCCGGCGTAGTGGTTAACAACCATACCTCTCACGCGAGTCACGAGTTCAAATCTCATCCCCGGACAAGTCACGAATAACCCAAGAGTGTTAAAGTGACTATAATAATAATAATAAAAAAAAAAATCCTATATAAACTTCAAAGGGCCACAGCAGTATAAGTCCGCATCCAAAAGAGCTCAAATTTTGAGATAATTATTATGACCTGATTTGATATCAATTGAGCTTGGTGGAGCAAAAACAACATTAAAAGTGCAATAAAAAAAGCTCAATTGACAACGTATAGTTTAAAGATAAACTCAGAATTATAATTAAAAGAAAAGAAGGCAACGTATTTCGCTACTAAAACCAGAATTGAACACATTGAATACACAAGTTCTATTCTTTTGTATTTGAAATGGAATGGATTTCTCATGATTTACAAAAAAACAGCTCCTTTGATTTCACGATACCGTTTTATTGTATTTCGTTACAATTGATGTTTCACTTTCTTTTTCTTGTTTCAAAACTGTTTCCTCTCTATTGATTACACTACAACACTTCAGTACACATAATCTATAATGCAATAAATATGTCTATACTCTAACAGTGGTTTCACATCCGTTTGTATACTGAATAAATGAGAGCAAAGGAATAAATTGGTATAAAATGTGCTAAATTGAAGCTGAAAATGACGATACGTATGTGACTGAATACCATCTATGAAAAATGGGACTTTCAACTTCTACCGGTTTTCTTCATCATTTTGGGAAGATATGATTATATCACATTTGATTTGTGTATAAGATATTTCTTTCCTATAACCACCTGAATCATGTCGTTGTAAAAAGTAGTACAGTAGTTCTCAGCAGAAGCTAAACAAGCTGCAATCTATAAAACTAAACTTTGGAATCACGTAGCAAAATATTCCCATTCCTAACCAATAAAAACACAATCGAAACTTTGGTTTACGAGTCCATGATGACAGTTCCATTTCGGCGCCCAACTTTTAAACGGCACCGTATTTACGTATCAACATTGCCCACACTTCTGGGTAGCGCGTCTGCAGGAAGTTGGTCAACTTCTGGGCGTTCTGGGCCTGCTGCGGGGAACAGTTGCGACAGTTTCGTTGTATCACTTCGGGCAGGGCAGCTGCAAGATGGAGAGAAAAGAAGAGAAGCGAAATTGAAACAAATTGCAATCCGACGGAGATTGAGGTTATGTCTTTTGTTCAACTTTATCCGTTCGGGCTTTGTGGGAGGAAAGCTGCTTAAGGGAATTGTGCGTTGTTTTTCCCGGCCGTGGCGGCGGGCGGGCCGGGATTCAAAGAGCAAATGTTTTTCCTCTGTACTGGATAGTAGCCAGATGGCTCTGGGGGTCCCAGTTTCCAGCTACTGGCTCCAGGGCGGTTGTGACTATGACGACGACGATGAGGACGTAAGAGTGCAACAATAATGCGAACGATAAAGCTTAATTGAGCCCTGAGGGAGAGTCGTTTATTTTTCTATACTTTTCCATGCGACTAAGCGTAGATTCTCAAGTAGTGGAAAAACATGTTTTTCCATCCATCACTGATCCCCTTTGGGAGAAACGGGATCGACGGAAGATAAATTGTTTACAGAAACGTCTTTTGATATTTTTGTACATTATGTACTGCAAAACGTTCACTCCTGCGAAGGAAATAAAATAATCATCAATAATCAAAGAAGCACTTCATATCGCAATCCTCAACACAAAGCGTCATAAGGAGCAAATAATCAGAAAACTTTAACCCTTTAGCAATTTTACCGATAGCAGCGAAAAACTTTACCGATGAACACGATATCCAATTCCCAAAACTTCGCAACCACACGCTTTTACTATCTACAATACCGAACAAAAGTATATACCTACATAGGTTCGTGATTTTTTTTTTCTCTTCAAAAAAGTTTAAAGAGGTCTTATTATTTCGGATCAAGAATCAAGTATAATACGTTATCGTTCGGGTATGTATGAAGTTTGAGCCATTTTAGAAATACTGTTTGGGGTATACTTTTTTAAAACGCAATTTCGTGAAGTATAATTATCCAAATAAGCTGAATTTTTGCTCATTCATTGTAAAAATATGGACTATTTATATGATTTTAGTTTAACTAAAATCCAATAAGTACGAAAACAGTAAAGCAATTCGATATTTTTCACCATCTCAGAAAAATGGCAAGGTTGTACTTTTGTCCGATATGGGTTTTCATTCTGCGGACAAAGGTATAAATCAAAGTGATAGGGTTTTTGATCTAATTTCCGTCCCACAAGCACAACCCACGCTTTACCTCTCTTTTTGAACGGGTTTGAACTAAGAATGGAAAATTTCTGTCAAAGATGACTTCTAAATTTATTCACCTTTCCATACCTTTCGTAGGATTTGATAAAGAGTCACAAATTGTTGAGATATTGTTTAAAATCTCATACTGCTTCTTGATTCTAAATTCGTCTTACGAGTTTCAATTCCATCCTAACGCATTGAAACGCCATTAGATTTTCTTCGTCCGACGGATAAACGTAGAAAAGGGGATTCGCTAGGAGTGCTACTTTTGTTTTGAGAACAATGAGCTCTAATAGGATTTATGTTGTAGCTAATGAACTAACGCATCGAAACAAACCTATTATTGATTTGTGCACGGTTAAATCATTGAAATTATTGATGTTTTCTGATCGATAGAACGGAAATGGGCGATAACGATAAAGTAGCGCTCTACCCTATACTTTTGTCCGCCACTGTAAATCCATATTAGAGCCCAAACACAGTGTGAAGAAGATCCGGCAACCACACAGTCTCGTCTTTAATTGGTCCGTGCCATAGAAGATGTACAGGATCTTCACAGTTGATTCAGAAATCTTGCTGCAGTTGTAGGCAGACGAAGGCTTCTGCTGCACTCGGGAAGAATAGAGTGTTAATTAAAATGGTAATTTTCGATCCACCCGGGAACGTTTCGCTATAGGTTGCATTTTCATTGAACTGAGAAGAACGAGCGCGAGAGATGCTATATGTACTATATGTGGTCTGTAAGGAAGAAAGTTTGCAAAGTGTGATTTATTTGCATGTCACGTACTTGATTAGCAAAATGTGCTACATTTGGACAATTCAGCCGTGTAAGTGCGGAAACGCTCGGTTTGGTTTTTGACTAGTTGCTAGCAAAGGAATGAATATCTTGAGAAAAGGGATGCTAATTCTTCTTCTGCTTCTTTAGCTAATACGTCCCAACTAGAACTTTGAACTTTTCAATGAGTGTTCATTTAGGAATACCAAAGCTGCTAAGCACTACCGCAAGGCGCTATATGCAAAGGATAACCGAACACCGTAAACCGGGGACAAATTGATCATAGTGAGATGGCTCCATACAAAAGTCGTTTGTAGTTATTTTTTATCTTTTAGGCTTGAAATATATTTGAACTAACATGTAATGAGTATTATTAGCGGAGATCAGATCATAATAGTCGTCAAAGATTATCGCATAAGACTGTTCTAAATACTTGCAACAGAGAAAATTAGATAAAACAGGAAAATTTAATATTGAATGTTAAAATAAGATAAATTTATATTTTTATAATTTATAACTTTACGGTTATAAAGACTGGAACGCGCAAAAATTAGTCGACAAAAAAATCGTTTCTTTCAGTCAAAATTCATGTCACAAAAATCTTCTTATCTTTAAATCATATTGCCAAATCCAAACTGCCGTGCCTTCCGTTTAACCCCTGAGCAGTTCCACACAGATTCGGAAATCGTTTCGGATCGACCTTTTACGATTATGATGAAACTTTGTTTTTTATTGCCCAACATGCCATTTTACATATATGGTTTCCTAGTTTTGCACACGACTAACACTTGGAAAGGGCTTATGCAAAAATGATACGCATCAATAGAAAAAATATATCTCGTGAACGATTTGTTTGATCGAGATGGTGTCTTAGAAGAAGTTGCGGACAAGTGTTGTGCCTTCCAAGAAAAAATATACGCTGTAAAACATTATAATTTTTTACAAAAAAAAATATATAAAAAAAATTAAAATTACTCAAATTGCATATTTTTTTTTTAAGTATTTTTTTTAATTTATTTTGTATTTTAGATAGAGTAATACCTACTGACTTTGTGCATTTGCTGGACAAATCATAAACAAAAAAGTTTTGAATTATTGAAAAAAATAAGTAATTTCCAAAATACTACCAATAGTTATTGAATACACTGGAGTCGCTTTTTACGCGGGTGATATGTCCCGCGTAAAAAAAAACTGCGTAAAAAAAACCGCGTAAATTCCGGAAACCGCGTAAAAAAAAACCGCGTAAATTCCGAAATCCGCGTAAAAAAAAACCGAGTAAAAAAAGACCGTGTAAGAAAAAAACGCGTAAAAAGCGATATACCGCGTAAATTCTGAAATCCGCGTAAAAAAAACCAAAATCCGCGTAAAAAAAAACCGCGTAAATTCCGGAATCCGCGTAAAAAAAACCGCGTAAATTCCGAAATCCGCGTAAAAAAAACCGCGTAAAAAAAACCGTGTAAAAAAAAACCGTGTAAAAAAAACCGCGTAAAAAGCGACTCCAGTGTATCTTTAAAAAAGTGTTAATATTAAAACACATTAAATTTACAACAAAAAAGCTTAGAGTGCTTGAATCGCCCAAAGTTGTTATTTTCGAGATACTCGTAGGTTAAAATTCACTTATCGCATAATTTGAGCAATTTTTGCTCTTTTGAGAAGTTATTCGTGAGTGTTCAATCTTGAAAGTATTTTTAACAAAAAGCCCAATTAATTTCCTTAAACTTTGCTGTTCACAGTTTATTAAATCAGACGCATGAATTAAGATATAATTAATTAGCTAAACTAGCCAGCCGTATATGGGGCCAAACAGAAAAATACACTTTTCCCATGATTGAAAAACTGAGAACTGCAAAGTTTAAGGAAATTAATTGGGATTTGGGGGCGACCCCGGCGTAGTGGGTAGCATCCATACCTCTCACGCCAAAGTCACGAGTTCAAATCTCACCCCCGGACAAGTCACGAATGACCCAAGAGCGTTAAAGTGACTATAATTAAAAAAATAATAATTGGGCTTTTTGTTAAAAATACTTTCAAGATTGAACACTCACGAATAACATCTCAAAAGAATGAAAATTGCTCAAATTATGCGACAAGTGAATTTTAACCTACGAGTACACTGGAGTCGCTTTTTACGCGGGTGATACGTCCCGCGTGAAAAAAAAACCGCGTAAATTCCGAAATCCGTGTAAAAAAAATCCGCGGAAATTCCAAAATCCGCGTAAAAAAAAACCGTGTAAATTCCGAAATCCACGTAAAAAAAAACCGTGTAAAAAAAAACCGAGTAAAAAGCGACTCCAGTGTATCTCGAAAATAACAACTTTGGGCAATTTAAGCATTTTGAGCTTTTTTTGTTGTAAATTTAATGTGTTTTAATATTAACACTATTTTAAAGATATTCAATAACTGTTGGTAGTATTTTGGAAAATACTGTCTTTAATCGGTTCCAAAAAATTGAATTTTAATGATATGAACAATCAAGGCCTAAAATAAACAGTTCTAAGACAAAACAAAATCAACTGAACAAATCGGATGTATTGAGTTTGAGTTTTAAGTTATATTCCCGATATCATGGGCATGGTACTCTTCAAACTCGCATAACTTCGTCATTTTTCACCGGATCAACTTGAAATTTTGGGAAAATAATCAACTCATAGAACCGGGAATCAACGGTTTTACTTCCCTTTCAAAGCAACGCGTAATCAGAGATGTTATGCCCCAGAACATCCCGGTGGCGCTGACTGAGATTGAACTCAGGCCTGCTGGGTTGAGAGGTAATCACGCTTACCACTACACCACAGGCGCCGCTAACACTAAAGGTTCTGGGTTATAAAAAAAAAACCAAGTAGTACACACTATTTTTATTTGATTGGAAACCAGCAAAGTTTTTCTGTATTTGGCTGAGCTAGAAATCTAGCAATCCGATATCAATCCAGCAAATGTTGTTTAACAAGAATTTACTGGAAAACTGGCAAACTTTTTTCGGAAATAAACCGGGAATTTGGCTTTAAATTCAGCAAAAAATAAAAAAGTGTTTGTTCCATTTTGAAATATAAAAAATATTACAAAATTATGCATTGA